AGCCTCCTGATGCTGGGCTCACATCCACAAGCTGGGCAGTGGACGACTGCAGCTCCAGCTCACCCTGGAGTGAAGAGAATGGAATTCCAAAATGTCTGCTTCAGAGCTTGTCATCCCCATAAACCCAAGCCTAAAAAAGTGCATTGATGATGTACAGAATAATTTCTTTGAAAATACTGTGAGAAGAAATCTCCAGGCAATAAATAAATTAAAACTGTTACTTTGAAGTAAATAGAATTATAACAAAAATGATCAACAATGGAAAAAAAAAATGTGGAAGTGGAGGATGAGTTAAGACTCTAGCTCAACTGCGCCTCCTAGTGCCAACAGCCGATCTTACATTTCTCTAACATTTCTAAACTAGTTCAGAAGGTGAAAGCCCTAACTTAACTGTGCAGTATATTATTATTTTAGAAAATCTTAGATCAACTTAGAACAATAAGGCAGAGTAGAAAAACGGGACCTTTCGGTTTCTTGAGCAGGCACTGATTTAAGTCTTAATGGAACGCAGATAGGACAACAAGAAAAATAGGGAATCAGCAGCATAAATATATAGAGTGAAGTGTATATTATTCCTTTAAAAATCATTTTAAATTATGTTTTATGCACATGGACCATGCACCACAACTATCCAGCAGGTCATCTTTAAAATACGTTTGGAAGTTAATCACTGAATTCAAGAACGTATTCAAGGAAAGTGCAAGAATGCAAAGTTAGAAAACACTTTCAAAACTTCTGAATTAGGGTTTGGGACTGCTGGTACATTCAAATATATGCAGGTAAATGTCTTCTTCTCTACTCTTGCATTTCCATAAAAGTAGCTTCGTCACAATGTCTCTGTATTTACTACATATTTTAAAGAAGCGGTGTTTTCATTTCTTAGGAGAAATTCAGTCAGACTTACCCAACCAGAAGGATTATAAGCTGAATCAGAGCACGTGGATGGAGAAAGCAGGGCAAGGCTGGCCTCCACCTCTTCAAGTCTGTGGACATGTACTGCTTTATCAGCCACAAGTTGTGTTTTCCAAATCTGTCTTCTGTGACTTTGTGGTTTACCCCGGGTTCTCTTTTTGCTCCTTTCAACCCCCCCTCAAATTGTTCAGCTGTTAAAAAGTTCCAAAGCAAGCAAATGTGTTCCTGGAATCCTACCCCTAACATTGCCGGAGAGCGTATAGTGAGGGTGCGTCTCTAGCCAAAATAATAAAAGATCTTTTAAGTGGCTGAAATTCTTGGCTGATTGCATATACATGCCAATGTCAGACAACTATAAACAGAGAGATTTGGAAGAAAAATAGAGAGAGTCTTTACAACTCCAATGAAATAAAATGGAATGTTTTTGAAGGCGGTCAGAAAACAGTACATGTATTTATAAAATTAAGATGTGTCTCCCTTTAATCCAAAATCCCCTTTAAGCAGGAAGAGTCCACACAAATCATGCATGTCCAGCATGAGGGAATAAAAGGACTTTCTTTTTTTTATTAATATATATTTATCATTCCCAATCCTATAATTAAGATTTCTTCTTTATATTGTCTTTTTGAGTTTAGATATCTGCTGGATCCTTTGATATTTTCCACCCATCACCGCCTTGTTTCCCCAGAATACTAAAAACTCCTTCAAAGGATAAAATTATGCCCATGGTTACTGGTATAAATGAAGTCAGGAGGGAACTGTATTGGTGTTACCTAGGGCGGACTCGGCCCCCCAGTAAACTGGCTCACTTGTTACAGCTGTTCAAAGACACTTGAGGATTCACTTCTCAAGAAATTCTGGCTCTTTTAGGTAGGTTAACACACCAACTAGCTTTAATAGCTGAGTTAATACGTATTTTTTAAAGATATTGCTACTTAATTTGGAACGGTGACTTACTTTTTAGTAACCTACCCATCTTATATCAACCCATCAAAACTGAATTCAAATTAGTTCTTGCAAATTAGTTCACTTTATTTTGAACCTATTACTGCTATACAAGAGAATTTACCAATTGCTCTAGTTTTGTAATTGTGCTTGTAGACAAGCAAACGAGTTAGCAGTGGTAGAGAAAGCCAGCACTGGCTTAATAATTTTTAAATGCAGTTCTTCTGAACGTAGACCGCGCTCCAAAGTGACAGATGTTGAAACGCCAATGGCTGCAAAGTCACAAGTCCATTTGGAGGAAGAATCAATAATATAATTAATGTCTCTGAATTCTCAGTTCTCTCTAAATTTCACCGGGTTCTCGCGGGCTAGAGGCTATGGCTTGGCTCTAAGGATTAAGTACATAACACTGGGGTGCCAGAAAGTAGTATTTGTATGATATTTTTAGTGATATTTTATTACTTTGTGTTTTCTGACATAAATCCTTTAAGGCAACAAAAAAATAAGACTTAATAAGACTAAATAAGACGGGAACTTAAAAATAGCATGGTTCTGAACAAGTTATGTTTCTAATTTGAAAATCTTAACTTCAAGCTCAGCTTTTGATATTTTTCCTAAAATGCTTTAAAAGTAATCTAATGGTAGGACCAAGTTTATTAGATGCTTTTGAATTAATTCTAGTTTTTTTTAAAGCATATATAATGTTACAGATTAAAAGACATTAACTACAATTCTACCAGTTCATTAAGAAGACTTCACATGAAAATGTAAGATTTCCTTCAGTTTTTTAGACCTTGGTTTTGGTAGAAAAATTATAAATCCTATGTTCACAGAAAATGCAAATAATAAGGGCGCCTGGGTGGCTCAGTCGCTAAGCGTCTGCCTTCGGCTCAGGTCCTGTCCCTGCTCCGCGGGAAGCCTGCTTCTCCCTCTCCCACTCGCCCTGCTTGTGTTCCCTCTCTCGCTGTGTCTCTCTCTGACAAATAAATAAAATCTTTAAAAAAATACAAATAATATCCCTGACATTACATCTTAAAGAGAAAACTCTGTTCTCATTTTGCAAAAAATCATATTCTGAAGAATTCTTATTTGCCCTCAAAAGTAAAAGCATATTTACTGACTACCCAGCATCTTTTAAGAAAAATTTGGAGATTGCGCACAATGCACATCGTTTTTAAAATTTCTAAAACATCAATACCAGAGGATTGCACGTCCTGATTTTCATCAACGAAATGAACTACTCTTGTTGTTACATGATCAACACCTCTCAGAGCAAAGTAGGCATCAGGTCTTAGGTGGTCAGAATGAAGTGAAGTAATGCAAAGCTTGAATACTATTTCAATTTTCTTTTCTTTCAGAAAGACATGAGATAACCTCGTTTCCCTGGGGTAGAGTACTGTACATGGATAGAAGCACCTTCACTGCGAGGCATCCCACTTGTCACTGTGGAATGGTTGAACGAGAAAGGCCATTCATTCATCTGGGCACGTGCCTGAGAGCTTGTGGCGTCAGGTGGTGCTGAATACAAGCTACAAAAATGAACGGCTACAGTGGGTCAGCTGTCTACAAAGTGGGTCACGGCCACAGGAGGATGGCGGACAAAATACCATTCAGCATCGTCTACAGACACCCACCTCCCATTTTTTGTAGACTCTTCTAAGTGGATAAGGATTGCCATTTATCTTCCTGGGCAATTTGGAGGTCATTCTAGCTCTGCCCCTCTGAAGGAAGGAAATGGCTATTCTCCACAAATGCTCTGTGTAGATTTGCCAGATATTCCTGTGACTTCAAAGATGGGTTAGAAATTCAATTGCTTTATAAAGAATTGTTTCATAAGATGGTTACCTGGTTGGACAAAACTTTTTGAGCAACTATGAGAGAATGTGTTTGATCATTTAATTAAGGTAGGAACTGTCTACTGTACGTAGTGCCTGGTGTATGAAAGCACTTAAGTAAAATGTTAGACCGCTGATCAGCCAAGGGAGGGGAGGTGAGGGGTACAAGACCAGAGGAACACACACAGAATGTTCCCAGCAGAGGGCATGCCTCCCAGAGGAGACTCTAGATACTGAGAGCTGATTCTTCAAATGGCAAAATGCAAAGCCTTGTGTTAGACGAAAATAATTATCCCAGTGCTCTTCTAAGGATGAATTTAATCAAAACAAACTGCCAAATCTTCCAAATAAACCACCGCAGAGTATGTACTCACTCAATGACTTCCTCCCAATAAGCTGTCCACTGGATCTACTGACAACATTTTTATTATAAAAAGGTTTTTTCTTATTTTTTATTTTTATAATTGATGGCATCTAAAATTAAACATGTCATAACAGTAAAAACTGAGGCAATTACACCAAATTCCCCGTAGACAAAATTCTGTTATGACAAATTAAATTTTTTTTAAATCAAAGCAGTTCCAGTTACCTTTTTCCCAGCATCATGCTTGTAATACGATCTCCACAACTAATGAGAGTGACTCAATCACTCTGCCTCCCAACTTTCAATGATTTATTAACAGGTTGGCTTGCAATAAAAGACCTCTGAAAAACTTGAGAAACCCAGATCTTCAGATTTCATCAAATTTTGAAACCAATAAATAAAACTATTTCAATGAGATCAGAACAGAAACTAAATAACAGAAATTAAATAAACAGATCACATATATTTCAAGTGATACATGTACTTAGCTTTCCAACAAGACTTAGTGGAACAACAGATAAACTGAAAAAACCAGAAAGATCAATTTTATCTAGCTCCAAGTTTGTCACTTGCATTCTTTAGATCAGAATCAGTCATTACATTGTACTTAGATGCTATTTTGCTGTTGCGAAAATATTTCTTGGAATTTAGTTATGAGAAGATTAAGCACAATGAATTTTAGGGTTTAGAATTCTGAAGCAACACCATGTTGCTGTAGGAACCCAAACTCATATATAACAGCATCAGTTTAGGCTGATCATGGTGGCTGGCACGCAGTTACGGCTTAACGACTATTTAATGGTTAAATGAATGGATGGATGGATACTTGGATGAGCAAATGAAAAATGTCAAGACAAACTTTTTTGGCGTTTTAAGAACTGAGAGAGGGATTGAGAGAGAAGAGAGAGAGAGAGAGAGCAAGAACAAACTGTATAAAGACTTACTTATTCCATGCTTGCCTAAGGTTTTTAGAGCTGTACAGGGTAAAGCGTTCTGAAATAAAAAAAGAAAAATGATAAACGATCTTTGTTTCAAATGTATACATCACATGTTTAAAAAAAAAAACAACCCTCAACTTTTAAAAAGGTAGTGTTTGACGTAGCCATGGTTATGCCAGTTATGGGAAGTCTTCACCTTCAGATCAGGCAGTTACAAAGAATAAAACAGGAAGATCTTAACATTTTAAATAATGAAGCATTGTTTTCTTTTGTTACGGTGATTTATTTCATAATCCGGTTTCCCAGTAATTACTTCTTAGAATAACTAAGTTTTAATTGGGTCAAAAAAGAAACACAAATTCCAAGCCTCCAAACTGTATGTTGAAGAACGTTGACACATCAGTGAAGTGAGAGTTGTTGCTTCCATTATGAAGACATCTCTGATCCAATACAGTAATGCTGGTTCTCCTTTCTTACACTATTTGGTATTTACATTTTCTTTCTTACATCTATTTGGTTTGGCTCAAAGCCAAACTACCAATGTCCTATAATGTATATTTACATTTTTCACTGAATCATCATTATTATATTTTAAAAATTAAGATGTTTGTTTTACCAAGTTAAATCAAGCAGCACAGAACAGATATTAATAATCTCCTCTCGTGCTCTCTATTTTTGACTCCTGAAGATACAGCAATTGTTAATGGCTTGGGTATGTCTCTTTCCACATATTCCTTTATGTTTATAAATGCAAACCCATTCATATATACATATACAGATACTATTTTAATTTTTAAAAATGGATTGTACAATGAACAGTCCCTGAAATTTTTTTAATATATAGCAGATAGTCCTTCAAAGCAAGAAAACAGATGTAACAATTGTTTTAAAGCTGTATAACATTCCATAGAATAGAAGTATCATAGGTGTTTGACTATTCTCCTACTGGTGACAACAGAGGTAGTTTCCACTTCCTTTCCCCTTAAAAACAATGCTTCAATACATATCCTCACACATCTATCTCTGTATACTAACGCTTTCATTTCTATTGGATAGATTTCTCCATATAGAACTGCTTGGTAAATGGTATGCACATTTTACATTTTAACAGACGCTGACAGATTACTTTTCATTTTCCAGCAATGAAAAAATAATGTCTCTTTATATTATACATCCCTGGAATGCAAGGACAGTTTAACATAAGCAAATTAATAAATGTAACACGCCACATTAATAGAATAAAAAACAAAAGTCACATGATTATCTCAATAGATGCAGAAAAAGCATTTGACAAAATTCAACATCCATTTGTAATAAAAACCCTTAACAAACTGGATAAAGAAGGAATGTACCCAACACAGGAAAGGGTATGTATGACAAGCCCACAGCTAATATCATACTCAATTATGAAAGGCAGAGGCTTTTCCTCTAATGCCAGGAACAAGACAAGGATGCCCACTCTCAGCATTCCTATTCAACATGCTACTTAAAGTCTGAGCCTGAGCAATCAGGGGAAAAAAAAAAAAAGAAGAAAAAGAAATAAAAGGCATCTGAATTGGAAAGGAAGAGGTAAAACTGTCTCTGTTTGGACGATGGACTCTGAAAAACAAACTGAGGGTTCTAGAGGGGAGGGGGGTGGGGGGATGGGTTAGCCTGGTGATGGGTATTAAAGAGGGCACATTCTGCGTGGAGCACTGGGTGTTATGCACAAACAATGAATCATGGAACACTGCATCAAAAACTAATGATGTAATGTATGGTGGTTAACATAACAATAAAAAATTATTAAAAAAAAAAAACTGTCTCTGTTTGCAGATGACATGATTTTATAGAGTCTACTCCACCAAAATACTGTTAGCGCTAATAAACAAATTCAGTCCAGCTGCAGAATACAAAATCAATATACATAAGTCAGTTGTGTTTCTGTGTATTAACATTGAATTATGTGAAAAACAAAGAAAGGAAAAATTCCATTTGTAAAGCATCAAAAATAATGAAATGCCTATGAATAAATTTAACCAAGGAGATAAAAGATCTGTACACTGAAAATTATTAAGACACTGATGAAAGAAATGGAATCCTGTGTTCATGGATTGGAAGAATTAATATGGTAAAATGTTCATACTACCCAACATCATCTATAGATCTAATACAATCCCTATTGAGATTTCAATGGCAATTTCTGTATTTATAGAAGAACAAAACAATCCTAAAATGTGTACGGAACCACAAAAGACCCTGAATAGCCAAAGTAATCTTGAGAAAGAACAAAGCTACAGGCATTACCCTTCCTGATTTCAAACTATCTTACAAAGCTATAGCAACCAAAACAGTATGGTACTAGCACAAAAACAAACACATAGACTAATAGAACAAAACGGAGAGCCCAGAATTAAACTCATGCATGTACGGTCAACTAATGTGCGACAAGGGAGCCAAAATACTCAATGGAGGAAAGATAATCTCTTCAATAAACGGTACTGGGAAAACTGAATATTCACACGCAAAAGAATGAAACTGGAACCCCATTTTAAACCATGCACAAAAATTAACTCAAAAAAGATAAAGACTTAAATGTAAGACCTGAAAGCACAGACAAAAACAGAGGGTAAAAGCTTTTGACACTGGTGTTGGCAATGATTTTATGGATACAACACCCAAAGCACAAGCAATAAAAAGAACAAATAAACAAGTGAGACCGCAACAAACTAAAAGCTTCTGCACAGCAAAAGAAACCACCAACAAAATGAAAAGGCAACCTACGGAATGGGAGAAAAATATTTGCAAACCACATATCTGATAAGAGGTTAATATGCAAAATATATAAAGAACTCCTATAACTTCATAGCCAAAAATCAAATAATCTAACTGAGAACTGGGCACAGGACCTGAATAGGCATTTTCCCAAGCAAGATATGCAACTGGCCAACAAGTACACGAAAAGGTGCTCAACGTCACTAATCGTCAGGGAAAGGCAAATCAAAACCACAGTGAGATGTCACCTCACACCTGTCAGAATAGCTGGCATCGAAAAGATGAGCTAACAAGTGCTGGCAAGAATGTGGAGAAACGGGGGTGTTTATACACTGTTGGCGGGAATGTAAACTGGTGCAGCCACCACAGAAGACAGTAGGAAGGTTCCTCAAAACATTAAAAATACAACGACCATATGATCCAGCAATTCTGTATCAGGGTATTTAATTTCTGAAGAAGAGATTTCTGCACCCTTATGTTCACTGCAACATTACTTACAAGATGGGGGAGCAACCCAAGTGTCTACTGATGGATGAAAAAAATGTAGTGTATACATGCAATGCATAGTAGTCAGCCGTAAAAAATAAGGAAATCCTGATATTTGCAACAACATGGAGGGACCTTGAGGGCATTATGCCAAGTGAAATAAGTCAAAGAAAGATAAATACTGTATGATCTCACTTAAATGTACAATCTAAAAAACCCTGAACTCATAAAAGCAGAGAATAGATTGGTGGTTGCCAGGGGCAGGGGGTGGAGAGGTAGAGAAATGGATGAAAAGCAATCCAAGGATATAAATTTCCAGTTATAAAATGGATAAATTCTGGAGATGTAAAGCATAGGGACTTTAGTTAACAATATTGCACTGTATATCTGAAAGTTGCTAATAAGAGAGTAGATCTTAAAAGTTCTCACCACAGACACACAAAAATTTTAACTATGTGATGTGATGGATCTGTTAACTAAACTTACTGTGGTATAAATAGAGACATATATTAAATCACTATGTTGTACCCCTTAAACTTATACAATGTTATATGTCAATTCTATCCCAATAAAGGTGGGCAAAAAAGAGTGTTCTAGCTAAGTAAAACAAGGAGATATAATGTAGACTGACCAGTATGAGACACTTTAGATTAAGTGATGAGGGAAGGTGAGTTTCCAACAAAAGTCAATTGATAAAATAAAGTTCCCATTGGAAATCTGGTTGGAGTTTCATTAAAATATCTACTTATCTGAAAAGAATGATACAAAATCTTTGTACATAACAATATGGTATGTCTTCCATTCAGAAAGGATTTGTGTGTATGTCCTCCAATAAAATTAAATGGCATCTTTTTCATATTGATCTTGATTCTTTTTAAAAATTTAATACTTAAAGGCTTAATTTTGCTTAATATTGGTTGGTGTCTTTTTCCAATGTTGTCTGCTTTTAATGACAAACTTTTAAAGGAGAGAATCTAAATGACTGATACTGCTTTTGTTACGGTGTATTTCCTGTGGAAGAATACCATTAGATAGGAACAAAAAGAAATTTAAGAACCCACTCAACTTCCTATTTCTAAACACAGTTTATCCAAACGGAATGACTGGAAATACTGTGCAGTGATTCACTGGTTCAACTACTATTTATTGAGCAACTACTGTGTGCCAAGTGTCCTTCTCAGGGGCTGAAGCTGTAGAAGGGAATCACACAGAAACCCTTCATGCAGGGAGAGAGCTCACATTCTCGTGGGGATGTGCAAGGGTGAGGTGAGCCTGAAGGACAGGGTGGCTGGAGTAGACAGACAGCCCAGGAGAGAGAAGCGGAGGCTGAGACAGAGAAGGGGCACAAGGGCAGAAGACCAGCTCACATGGAGCCCCTGTAGCCTGTAACACACCATCCAGACATTTTTTAAGGACCACTCTGCCCTCTGTTTCGAGAATACACTCTTGGAACCAAGGACGGAAGCAGGGAGACCAAGAACAGTTTTTTACAACTGTACGGGAGGGAGATGATATACTTTGGGCTCTAGAAACAGTGTCTGTAGTGAAAAGGGGTCAGTCAGTCTGCAGCTTGCTAAAAGGCAGAGCAATAGATTTATTGATGGATTGGATATAGGGTATGACAAAAGGTAGGCATTAAGATGACGAATAGAGGACTTACTGATCTCTAATTTCCAAGTTCCAAAGATTGAGAATTTCATATTCAACTCAACTGTTACCCCCAAGAATACGTGAATCTTTCCAGGATGATTCAGAAAGTACTGAAGATTTTCATGGAGTTTCAGAGTCATCATTCAAGCTGGGATAATTGTTAAA